AAGTATATTTTTTGTCCCTCAACTTTTTTGATAGTATACAAATGGTCCTTCAACTGCAAAACCAACAAATCTTAATCCCTCAACGTTCAAAACCGGATAAATTTAGTCCCTCAACTTTTAAAACCGGATAAATTTAGTCTCTCGTACGGCTTCAGGTGGTTTTCTACCCGACGTGCAGTGGTTTTGATTCTGCGCGGTAGCTGTCCGCCATGACGCCACCCCTCCCGGCCGAGGCAGAGCCCAACTGACGGTCATTCTGCTGTCCAAAGCTAGCCTCGTACTAGCTCGCTTGTGTACAAAGCAAGCTCTCCCTGATGCGCTTCTGGCTGTTGAATCATTAGTTAGTCGGTTGATTTTTTCCTGTTTTCTTCCCATTCAGTTAGCAGGGCACGAGCTCACTATTTTGTGTGGTGGCCGTGCGCGTCGAGTCCGGCAGCTGCATGCATGTCGCTGCAAGTGTCCAGCCGCGCGTCAAGTTGTTCGCTGGACAAACTACTCGAGTCCTAGTGTTCACATGCATCAAAGTGCACCTGAGCATGTGAGTTGAGAGCTAAACACTGGCTGGTGCTTTTGTCCCGAGAGGAACCAACTTAGATCAATTAACGTGCATACGTACGCTAGTTGTCTACTTTGCTTTTGCTGCGTACATGCATCGACATGTAATCGTATCAACTACGAGCGGACCACATCAAGCCAGCGCTGCAAGCTCACTCTCGCCGGAAAGTCGCGTTGCCGCCGTTGAGCAGGCTGGCACACGGACGATCTCGCCATCGGCAAAGTCAGACAGGCATATGTCGCAGCCGGCACGGAAGGACGCACACTGCTGCTGCTCTGCTTGTGTGCTCATGAGGAAGGCGGTGTAAGTGGCGACGGGGAGCGCGATGGGGGCCGGCAGTGCGCAACCTTCCCTAGATCTAACATTTTTTTTTCTGTAGTGTATACCATAATACCACACCAAGTCGAAAGAAAACACCTAAAATAGCACGAGGGACTAAACTTATCTGGTTTTAAAAATAGAGGGACTAAGTTTTGTTGGTATTGAAGTTAAAGGATCATTTCTCTATTTTCAAAAAAGTTGAGGGACGGAAAATATACTTTTTTCTATCTTATATCATAACTCATCCAAGCAGTGGTATCAGAAGAAATAATTTGAATCCAGGAGTAAGAAGTGTACACATACAGTATGATATGTCTCCCCAGTTTGTCCATCTTTTTATTATGTTAAAAGGATATTTAGTTGGTAGTGCAGTAGTCTGAATTAACTAGCACCTCAGTGGATCAGATAAGGTAAGACTACATCCACTTTAGAACTTGTGGACTCAAAATCCATTGAAGACGATGGAGGATTTAAGAAACATTTGTCTCATTGTGTTTTTATTCGAGCATACTGGTTACAGTGGGGACATGTGAATATCTTGAAAGTATAATCTATGTTTTCAGTTCCTTTATTTTCAGAAAGAGAAAGTAGTTTTCAAAGTGTGGCGAGGGTTAATTTAGATGATGATGTCTACAAAAGCTCGATCGCAATACCACTGCCACCCCATATCTTACTTCAAAATAGATAATAACACACACGCGCACGCATTGACTCAATCACGGGCGCGACATGTCGCCGCGACTTCTGCCTGCTAGTAGAGTGAAATTAAACCGGCTAGGCTAGCCGGGCTGCGGGGAATTCCCGCATTACGTCATGCCTCTCCACTGCAGACATGTATATTTGGTTTCTTCCTGATTCAGACCTGGTTTTTTATCGAATATTTTTCGTGCCCCGGTCCAATCGGTTCACCGTATATCCATCCTGTGGAAAGTTACATGGAAGGATAGTTGTTTACTATAGCCTGCTAGGTAATGAGCCTCCGGGAAGCCACGCTCACCTACTTCGCCTGGTAAAAAAATCCCATCTTACCTTTCAAAAAAAAAAATCCCATCTTAGCCAACGCACAACCACCCCTGCTCTGTCGTGGCCACCGCTCCTTGCCGTCCGCCCAACGACCTGATGTACTGCTTTCCGGGGTTGTCCGGGTCCGCATCGACTTCCCCTTCACCACTCCGCGTTGCCGAAGTCATCTCCGTCCCCATAAGCCTCCATCCCTACGCTGCCTCGCTCCTCCCTTCGGAGCCCAGTTAGCCGCGCTGCCCTGCCACATTCGGCCACGAGCAGCTCCAGATTCATGGCAGTGCCCTTCCCTAGTGCGTCCTTGTCCGTACGATGGCCGGTGAGGTTCATATCGCGCGTCAAGTTCGTCGCGTGAGGAGCATCATGTCGCTAGCAGTACTGGCATACGATCAGTGCAGGGTCTGGTATGTCAGTCGAATCGCCTGACAACATGTACCATCGGTGAGGCAAAATCCATTTAGTTTTTTTTGATTGATATGTAGACAGTTGCTTCATGCTACATTTAACCAATTGACTCGATCTTTTCAAAAAATGGAAATGTTCACAAACATTTTTAAAAAGTTCAACGATTTTTTTAAAAAAATTATGAATTTGAAAAAAATTCAACTACGCAAACATTCATAAAATTTGGAAGAAAAAGTACATAAATTTGAGAAAAGTTCATGTATTTGAAAAAGTGACTTGGAAAAGTTCACAAAAAATCACTAATTAAAAAAATCACAAAAAGATTTGAAAAAATTCATGAAATTTGGGAAAAAGTTCACAGATTTAGGATGAAAAGGTTCACAAAAATTGGGAAAATGGTAAATCATAAAAAAGTTTACGAAATTGGGAAATGTTTACATATTTAATAAACACGAAAAAAGAAAAAAGGAAAAAAGAAAGAAAAATAAGAAAAAAGGCAGAATGAGAAAAACGGTGAAAAAACCCTACATGGGACGAACCATTTAGATACTAATGTTGTGGAGGGGGTGTGCGCCGGTTAGCAAAATGCACTCTAACCGGGGTTAGGACATCAAATAGGTGTGTAGATTTCATGAGCTTCTAATTGGTGCATTAGTTGATCTGGTGCCCACTAGCGTAGGATGTGGGTTGCATCTAATACTCCGACTTCATTTCGCTACATTGTTCTAATCGTTCTACTGTTTCGATCATGCAGCTATAACCTGTTTCGATCGTTCAAGTGATTTGTTCATTCTACTGTTTTGAGAGAAGATAAATTGTTTCGACCATATTACTGTTTTGAGAGAAGATAAAACTGGTTCCTAAAATGTTTCTTTAGAACTAGAAAAAAATAAAAAGAATATTGAAACTAAGAATTTCCATTTTGAACTACTTGAGTAATTTTGTGACAAGCAAAATGGGATTATATAGCAAAGAAAAAAAATCTAAGAATTATCATTCAAGGAAAATAACAAATTTAAATTAATTTAGAGGAAAAAGGGGAAGAAGATGTTCTTTAGTCTTGAAGAAGTGAAATGTCAATTCCATATTCTTGTAGACTTTTAGGATATTTCTTACAAGATGATTAAAACTAGGTCGGTAGGGAGAACTTAAAAATTATTAATTCCAAACTGCACCTCTTAAAACATGAAAGAAAAAAATAGTTACAGTCTTACAGATTGAAGAGAACTTGAACATCACTTATTGTAGTGAAGAAACTGTCAATTCCATAGGCAAGTGACTATCTTTATCCTGCAAAAAGAAGGATTTCAAAAGTCTTAGTTCAAATAAAATAATATAGTAAAATTCTGGATCCTCATATTTGCAAAGGAGAGATTTGTCGTTGTAAACAACAGGGGTACTTACTTATTTTGAGAGAAGAAAAAGATGCATAGATGAAATGAATCATTTGAATAGACGGAGTCCCTATGAAAGAGGATAAAGAAAGAATATGGGTTGGGTTTTTATTTAATTTTGGAAAAAATGCCATACTCAACAATTCATAATATAAGACTAACAAAAATGCCATACTCAACATTTCACGAATTAAAAAAAAAGTTCACGAGTTCAAAAAAAAGTGCACAAGATTCAAAAAATTTCATGGTTTTGGAAAAAGTTGACAAACCCAAAAAGTATCATGAGTTAATAAAACGTTTGCGGGATATAAAAAAATTTTGGGATTAAAAAAAGGTTTTCAAGCTCGAAAAAGTTCACGAGTTAAAAAAATCATGGGGTTCAAAAAAATCGCGGTTTTGAAAGATCACATTTTCAGTAAAAAGTGTTTTTTTTTGGAAAACGTTCAACAAATTTGAGAGAGAAAAAATCTGAGGAAAATCAACAATTGGAGGAAAGATCATGAATATGAATAACATTCACTTGGAAAAGTTCGCAAAAATGGAAAAAAGTTCACTAATATGAAAAAAGTTCAGAACTAAGATTTGAAAAAAGTTCATGAAATTTGGGAAAAGTTGAGAGATTTGAAATGAAAAAGTGAACAAAAATGGGAAATATTTTCAAATTAGAAAAAAGTTCGCAAAATTGGTAAAAGTTCATGAATTTGGATAAAACGAAAAAAATAAAAAGAATAAGAAAAATCAAACAAAAAAGAAAGAAAGCGAAAAAGGAAAAAAAGTTGAGAAAACCGGTGAAAAGAATCTACATTGGCCGCCCATCTAGATAATAGTGCTGTGGAGGGGGTGTGCGTCGGTTAACCAAATGCACACCAACCGGTGAAATGAATCTACATGGGCCGCCCATCTTCACAAACAAAGGAAAGAAAAAACAATTCGAATCTCCCTCCCCCCGTCCCCCCCACACCAATGTTTTCAGCGCGCTCCCCGCACTTCCCTCCCCTCCCCGCCCCGAATTCCGATTTCCTCCAAACATTTCGCGAAAATTTTCAAGATTCGATTGGCTCTTGGAGCCTTCCGGCCAAAAATGGCAGGAAACACAGATCCGTCTGCTCCCTCCACTCCTCTCCACGCCGAAATTTTCCCCGGAAACTCAAATCTTTTCATCCTCCGCCCTCTTCTTCCCTCCTACCTCCGTTACAAATACCCATGGAAGATCCTTCCTGTCCCATCCCAAGCTCCAACCCAGCCACCGCGCCGCCTAGTACATCGTCGAGCCCCAACCCCGAGAGCGGCAGCTCTTCTTCGAGATGGCAGTTGACCGCGCCGACAAGGAGAATCTGCCGCCGGCGGCCGCCGTTGCCCGTCCTCATGGCGTAGCTGTCAGGAGCTGCAAGCTGAAGCGGCTCGGGAGGGCGCGGAGGCGGGTGCCGCTCAGGGACATCACCAACCTCTTCGTCGTGGAGTCCGCGGTTGCCCAGTGGCAGCAGGCCCTGATCCAGCAGCCGCACGAGGGGTTGGCGACGACGGAGCTGGGCAAGGCAGAGCCGGCCGTGAAGAACGGGCTGGCCGGAGGTGCTGTACTGAAGGCCGGCAGATACTCCCTCCGGAAGGATTTTAGATAGCTACCGAATATATATGGATTATACTGTACTTCTCTTTTCATTTGTCCAAATGATTCATTGGACTAGATTGGTTGGTTAGTTGGTTTTTTCAGTTCTGTATTCCTGATGATAGGAAATGAGCTGCTGAAAGCAAAGAAAGAGAAATCTCAAATCGAATTCGTATATCGATTAAAGGTGTAGCATACTGAATTGGAATCTGGAATATACTATTTGGAGCTGAGATCTGCTTCTCCAGTTCTCCAGGACTATGGTATTCTGCATTACAGAACAGCTTTCAAGCCACTCCCTTTGCAGTAGCATCTGTGCCATTGCTAGGCGATCTCCTGATTGATCGTCAATCCAGACGGGCATGGAAAGATGTTGAAACTGCTTCGGCACAACAAGTACTGTGGCTGTGGTAGAGGGAGCAGGAGGGTATGATTTGCATGGCATTCAGCACACTATATCAGTATACTTTCGTTGCAGTCTCAGTGATTTCAGGTGTACTTGAGGCAAGCAAAAATTTCTTTTGATGTTTGGGTAGCATATTTATTCAGTCAACTTAAACGGTTTTAGTTTTACTGAAAATTTAAAGGGCATTAGGAAGGTAACAGAGTTGATGGGATATATCTGACTATCCCAGCACTTAGATAGCTGAGTTCCGTTTTAACAGGATCTGCTTTGTTTCTGAAACAGTGCCATAAACTAAAAACATGTTTTAACAGGAACCAGTCTTGACTATGCTCCTTAACAGGCTTACAGGCATATAGTGCATCTTGTGGTAACTAGTATTCTCTCTATCCCCGTCCAAATTTCCCTCTATAAGATGCCACTATAATTGATTTTTTGAATGAATCTTTTTCTGCACAATGCTCAGTTTACATTTGTTTTCGCTTTTGTTATTTTTCTGGCATTTGAACTTTGTTTCTTCTCGGTTGATTTCACGTGCGATCACTTCTACGATTTGTGCATTTTAACTGATGTGAAGCTTGTTCTTATATGGCCCCATAAAAGTTTGGAAGGTTGAGATGTTCATGTCTCGCCTTCAACGCGCTTCAGCCTAGGCCAGGTGTAGTAGCGTTGCTGGGGAGGCGGTTTTCATTGGTTTTCTTTCTTTTTTGCGGGACGGTCTTTTTGTGTTCTTTGCATTGTTTTTGGAGCTGTTTTTTTTTCCTGATTTTCTATATTTTCTCTTTGGTTCTTTGTTCTTCATTTCTTTTCCTTTTCCATTTTTCCTTTTCTATCTTTGTTTTTATTACGTTTTGATTTTCCCCCTTTTGGGGCTCACATTTGCTTTTTTAGGGGTTGGGCTCACTTTTGCTATGTGTGGTTGTACATGCTGTTATGCTTAAAGAAGAGATATGCATGAAAAAAGTACTATATCTGTTTGCGAAAGCCCACATACTAAAAAACTATTGTAATCAAAATGGTGTTCATACATTTAGAAAAAATATTAATGTGCTTATTTTTAAATGGACCTTTTATTTTCATAAGTGCTAACTCATTATAAAAATGTTTTTGAAATTAAAAAATGTTCAGATATTCTTAAAAAATGCTAGTAATTTTAAAAATCTGTCACGCCTTTTTAAAATGTTCATGTAATCATAAGAAGTGTGCGCAGATTTTAATTTGTCCGTACAATTTTAGAAAAATGTTCACATTGATTTAAAGTATCCGCACATTTAAAAAAAACGTTATCTTATTTTCATGAAACATTTATATTAAATATATATAAAGCACAAAAAATATGTTAAAAGGGTCAAAAACATATAAAAGGAGAACGAAAAAAAAGAAAAGCCAAATGAGAGAAAACTAAAAGAAATAAACAGGATAGATGACAGATGATTTTTTTCATGGACTTGGTTGTAATTTTTTCCTTCCAGTATTCCATGTACTACCATGACAGATGATGAATAGATTGAAAGTTTCCACGATTTTTTTTGTTGATTCACTTATTTCTCTATTCACTGTACAATGTTTCTTCTATTTTTGTTTCTACTAAAGTATTATGGGCCAGTCAAAGACATCACCACAAAAAGGCTCATATTGGACGGTCCATTGCTGAACCACATGCAAGCAAAAGGAAAGAAATTTATAAAATAAAAAGCAACAACATCTGAATAAAAATGTGAAGTGAAAATCGACTGAGATTCTTAAATTTCAGTCACCTAAGGATATACACTCCCTTTATTTTTGTCACCTTTTTTCTAGAAAAGGAGGATGACCCCCGGCCTCTGCATCTGAGCGATGCATACGGCCACTTTATTAATTATTCTCACAAGACATTACAAAGTCAAACAACAGCAAGACTAAAGCCACCGTCTAAGCAACAACTGTTGCTACACCTATCCAATTGATGAAGGGTCGCAGTGTGAGGACCCCGACTCATAAGTCGTGATCACCGAATGCACATGTACAGTGATTCGAGAGATCAATGCTCACTGAACACACAAAAGCTGAATAACAAAAGTCTTACATCCATACATAATACTGTCTTACATAAATTATGACCATTATGGTCAAGTCTTACATAGATAAAGCCACAAGGGCTGAATACCAAATAAACTTAAGCAGCGAAAAACTTCGTCGAAAAGTAGAACCCATGCCATCTGCCTTAACCCTACAGGCATTCTGACTGGGAAGTGTCCTAGCTCGCATGTTCGTCACCGAAGTATTCTTCATCATATCTTGTTCTTTCATGCCTGGCCAATAAAATAACCAGTGACAAGCCAATGAGTACTTTAAATGCACTAGCAAGCAACCCATGTTTTGGTTCAAGATACAACAATGCATGCTATAGGTAATTTTTTGCAGAAAGCTAAATTTTATTGTGCTATGACATGTTCAATAAATGGTAAAACATGCATCATACGGATTCAAGTAACCATAGGGACTGGTTACAGATATCAACATAAATGGGGCGGGCATCAACCCAACTCAATCATGTCAAGTCCTTTGACTTGACCCAAGTAGTTCTTCCCACTTATCCAAACACACACTGGTTTGTAAACATGTGGACGTAGCTCAAGAGCGGTTACCCAACTGTCCTTGACCGTGGAAACGACTATTCGAATAGTTTGACACTCTGCAGAGGTTGCACACTTTACCCACAAGATCCGGGGAACTTCCGTGTCATCCACGACCCGCGGTACCTCAAGTACCCGGGGTAAGCACCCGATCACTATCTTTACCTAGACGACACTAACATAGAGTCCACTCGATTGGTAGTAACCCCCGTGCCCAATATTTCACATCTTAAAATTATGGAGTCCCGCTCCCATATTCATCACATACCACAAGTATGGGGTACCAACGGTGTGTCTGGTGCCCTGTGAAAACAGTCATGGCCGCCCTACCTGGCACGACCCCGTCCCGAGAGAGCGCAACAATGACTCTCCCGTCACTAGTAATGCGGGCTCCAAGCTAGTATCGGCCTAGGTAATCAATAATGCGCTTTCTCATATAAGGGTAGAGTGGTTGCGCATGTAAGGTTGGAATAACGGTCGCAACTTAAACCAATCCATTTTGAAAACAACACACACACTTGCCTCGGTACACCACTTCGTCATCAAGTGGTTACCCAACTCATTATCTCCTTCGGGCATAAGTGGCACCCGACAGGGTTTTTGAAAAGTCTTTTGAAAACAATCTTGCTCCCATCACCATGCATATACCCAACCCATTTGCATAGTAGTTACTTAGCATCCTAACTACACCCACTCGCATAACCCTCATAGAAGGGTAGGGTCATGCACATTGCAATTATCAACAAGGAAGTAACGGTGGCAAACCACCCCATGTGGTCACCTCATCATCATGTCTCTGATGCAAGCAATAAAAGTGCTATATGACATGCATAAAAAGGTTTCATAGACATGGTCAAAGGGCTGCTTGCCTTGGTCTTCAAATTCTTAAAGTCCTTCTACTTCTTCTATTCAACTACTTCGTCAAATACGGGATCTATTCGTCGCCAAAGAAATGACGGGAAAATAAGGCAATAGCAAAACAGAAAAACCAAAGTGCTCAGAAAAATGTCAACCTATTTTTAATAAATACTAGGGTGAAAACTAAGAAGGGGAAAATTCTTAGTTTTGGATTTGGAGTTGGAGGGATAGAGTAGTGGATTTTCAAACAGAGATTTTATTGTTCAAATTTGAATTTAAATTTGAATAGTACAGAAAAGTTTGAAGGATATTTATGAAAGGTACACCATTAAATAGGCAGGATTTTTAGAAGAATATAGGATTTGGAATTATTGCATTTGGATTAATATTTAATCCCGTGGAATTTTTGCAAGTTTCTGAGAAAAAGAAAAGAAGAAGTAGCACTGTGCAACTGGGCCTATTCGGCCATAATGCAGCAGGCCCAGGGGGAATCCAGCCCGCGCGAGGCTGCCTCGTCGAAGGCGTATTTGGGAAATACGCCTCCAGCCAACGCAGCGAACCGGTGCGCGCGCATGTGTGTTTTAAACCTGACGTGTGGGACCCACACGTCAGGACGTGAGACTGACGGACGGGCCCCACGGCCGTCGTCGTCAACCTCGGGCCAGAGAGGGCGGCGAGCTCACCGGCGCCGTTGTGGTCGACGGCAAGGCGATCTAAGGGAACTGACGTGCTCAGGACGGAGTCGCCATTCGGGTGGAGGTGGAGTTGGTCGCCGGGGTGCAGGGGTTCGCCGGCGACGAGGAAGCCGTCGGCAGAGTTTCGGGAGGTGCTTTCCCCGGTCGATTCTAGCTGCAATAGAGAGGGGAAATGGTCAGGGAGGTGTGGCGGTTCCAGATCGAGAGATGGAAGAGGCGAAGAAAGCCTGTACCTCGAGATTGACGGCGACCCGAGGCGGCGGAGCTCGAGCTCGGGCGCTTCTGGAGATGAACTAGTGTGCAGGGGCCTATTTGGAGTGCGAGAGGACGAGGGATGGTGAGAAGAGGGCTCGGGGATGCCTTATATAGGTGAGCGGCGGTTCACCGTGGGCTCGTGCGTCGGCGAGCTCGTGCTCGTCGCTACGGGCCTCGGGAGGGTGCT